TGGGTTACATCAGCAGAATTAAAAGTGCTCTCAATAAATCAACAATTACAGCGTAACCATCGTAATGTCTATCACTTCCACCTGATCTTTTCCCATACATGATAAATGAAACGCGAATTTATCAGCCGTCCATTATTTCCATTGGTGATGACCCGGTCGACTTGGCTACCTTTGATAGATAGACACGAAGTGCTGTAATCAGTATTAATACTGAGATAGGTAAGTTGGCTTTCAGAAACAAATAAAAGAATGATGGATACGAAAATAGGTAATACTTGGGGACACAGTGTTTTTTGTTTTTGCGTTTCTTGGAGAAGCGCCGAGCTCTGCTATCTTCATGTATAGCAAGCTGTTAGTGCACATATTTGCGGCCCGTGGGGTATATCTCGGTTACTATCACCATAACGTTTATATACCAGTGTATGGACTCATTTGAACTTCGTCTGTCCCTAAATATAACGTCAATCCGGATATTCCATATATTCAAGCGTGGTCCTATATTTTGGGACAGAGGAATTAATATACAGACCCCATCAGATTGCTTTTTTATTTCATTAGTATAACGCCATTTGCATGTGTTTGTACAGAAGACGAATACTGGAAGAGCTATCTTATGACGTCTAGCCAGTCGTTTACACTGTCGGTGGAGTTGGTTATTAGTGCATCCATCTCTGAATCACTATCAGTAGCCATTAGGATTTCCATGTCCAAATTATCAGTTTCATCAACCAAGGCCCCCATGATACCCGATAGCTGGTTTGAATAATCCTCCCTCGTACATACACCAGCTGATTGCGCGTATCCGGTTATGATGGCAAGTGATGAAGCTAACCCAATATCCGTCGCCCAGGTTAGATCTCTAATATCCTGTTCTGCAGCGGCAACGCGAGGATCATAATTTAGGACCTGCATACGGGGTCTCTGAGTGAGAAAATTGTGACGACTGCTCATATGTTTACTAAGAGCTCTTGCGGTATTGCCTTTGTATTGGCATCCCCAAAAGTAGCAAGTACCGTCGTGGGCGTTCACAGTGGGTTTATCATCGTAGCATGGGACCAACTGACCGCGGAAATGGGGACGGGTAGTGATT